AATTAATCCACGAACATCCTACGCCTACGCCTTATTTACGACGCACACTCGACCAGCGGAACTACGAATCGGCTCGCTACACCTCTAATCATTTCACATTGAATCACTTACTGAGTTTACAGAAGCACATGAAAGCCACCAATGAATACGAATCCAAGTTATCGGCGGTACCTCGGATAAAGCCGTAGGCGATGTTCGTAAATGGTTAAAAACTTCCCATTGAAGCGCCTGCCTTCAGTAATATGAAAACATGGTTTATTTGCACCCTCTTATCTGCCAAAATGTACATTATTTTTGCTCGTTTTTGCGTTAAACAAATATTATGTATCATCACTGTTTTCGATAGATTGGTTCTTGTTCTTTTGCGAAAACGTGGCCAAGATTTTACAATTCATCGAAGATAATATCTGACCGGAATACTGTCTACACTTGATGCGAGTCTTTGGTGATGGAAATACCCGTTCTTTCAATCACCCCAGAAATTCCAATTTGACCCCGAATGATATCAGCATGTGTATAAATTTTGCTTCTATCAATTTTGGTTCAGTACAAAACTTGCAACACAGTCCCTGTGAATTATAGCTGCAGTGAGTCGATCGAAATCGTGATAGAGATGAATCCATTAATGATTGGATATCCAGAACCAAATCTCTTGATGCATCAGATGTGAACTGTAGGTAGCAGTTTTAATTCGGGAATCCGAGAGTTTTACTTAAAGTCTACCTCAAACTGTAATCGTCACTCTACAATATGGCAGAAAATGTAAACTAATTGGACTAAGCACGATATATCAGACTTAAAAGCGTGTTATTTTTCAGGATAATCCAACATGGCATAGAAAACCTTTTTTCTGGGTACTTTACCGAAACTTTTGACTTAATTAAGACTGTGACGCACCATACGGATTGTATAAATACATGTATTGATTAAACACGTGCAACACCTTGACTTGACTTTCATCACATTAATTCCTCTCAAAGCTCAGTGTTTCGAGCCTCGGTCATGGTATTTGTTATGAAGTGGCTCCACATCAGACGAAAAATATCTGTACTAATATCCATTTATGTTTTTATTCTATTACTTAAGAACTTTAAACAAGTAGGATTTCTCGTTTTGACGACGGTCACTGGTGCATCAGCTGTAAGATAACAGAATCTCAGTAAAATAAAACATCATTTGAACTTAGTTACGATAATAAATAAAGCTCCTTCCTGGTCGTACGTAAAATATATTTTTGATTCTGAGCCGTAACATTGGAATTTTGTCGTGACACTCAGGGTGATACAAGTGAACGGGGAACTGGCATTGGGAGAAAAAACTGGGAATAAATGCTATTCATCCACAGCTATCGACATACACACACCTATGTTACTGGAAACTGAAATGTGATTTTGAAATGCGAGTCATGTGGCCGGAGTTCCATCAATATCCAAACATAAACATATCCGAAAAGGGCCAGTGGTGTTATGCAAGATGTCTGCTTCAGTGACATTTCTTTCGCATATCATCATTTACTTCATGCGAATTACAAATGGACATTATATATGCTTATGGGGTATGGTGACAAATAGATTCAAAGGTGAGATTCGCACAACTTGTTCATTAGACAGTGTAACTAGGTTACCAACACTTTTTTCTCCTAAGCCGAATACAGATGGGTGGAAACGGTTAGCAAATGGGTGAGGATGACGTGTTAATGTATGTGTATGTGTTTCAGTAGGTATATATATGTCGCTGCAGCAGACATCTTGCATAACACTACTGGCCTTTTTTCAAATTTATTCGGGGAAATATATATATCCGACGTCGGGACGGACCCAACGTGGTCATACCGAATTATTTTTAGATTTGTCATCGAGGGTGTTCAGTGTGTTCTACTCGCTGACGCATTGTTTATCTCTCCACGTTCTAATCCGGTTCTCAACCCCGTGCAGCCTGTGCACACAGAGAAACAGGTTAACACACATATATTGATTGGGTTGTCCTAACGGTCGCCGACGGATGATTTCTAAGAAATGAACATTGGGGAGATCTGAAAAACGAGTGATACTAAGACGCGAAATTGATTGGAACATTGTAGGGCACAGAGAATAATGGGTAACCTGCACGGATTCCGATCCGAATGACACGTAGCTCCGTGTCCATCGGATATCGCAAACCCCTCTGTCACAAAAAGTTCACTTTTTGCAGGTGGATGCCTGAGAAAAAGATATCTATACGATTCCGTTCATTTGAGATTTTAGATGACGATCAATCATGTTATTTGGTCATTATACCCTCGGTTTGGTTAAATCCATATGTCGCAACAGTCGGAGTGGTTCAATCCAGGAAACTATTGTTCATTGCTAAGACCTGGATAATTCAAGTGGGATATTTTTTAATCATTCAGGTTTTCCACATCACGATTTGATCACACCGATTGCCCGCAATCTCTTCTCACATGCGTAAATGTTGGTCATGCATCCAACCTAAGCATCATGATGCATAACGGACACAAGGGGAACACCGATAATGTGTCAATAGTCCCTTAATCGGGCTTGCTACCAATTGTAGAGTATTTTATGACACTGAGTTGTGATGAATTATGCAACCATCTGTAGGTTCATGTATTTCGGTCAAAAGATGATCACAATTACAGTGGGATGAAATGAGGTGAGACCTCCGCGTAAACCGATGCTAGAGCGTAACTAAAAGACAATCACCGTTGTGGATTTACATTTGGTTCGTGAAGGCTCATCTTCTTACCAGGTGGGATGCAAGCTGGATGATGTGATGTTGAATTACGATAAATGTTTATACGGGATTTTAAGTGGAGAAAAATTAGATCGTGTTGTGTCAAGAGGACGCCAGATGGATAAATGGGGATCGAGCAGGTGGCTGGAGTGGTTAGAATGCTTATGGGTGAAACTATCACATGACATCATCTGAGGATTCCGAAGTTTTAGGATAAGGATGTTTGGAGGGAATGAGAGAAGCACGCCAAATAATTGCAAAAATCGGTTAGGCGGACCACAGAATTCAACGAATCAGGGCGAACTCCGATGCAGTAAACATTCTGAAATTGCTGACATCACTAAATCATTTATTGATTGTTTTATTGCGACTATAATTGAAATTACCAAATGAAATACCATTAAAACAGCACGAGGTTTGCAATTTTTGCAGCGTTTCACCCCACTTTCTCACATAGCTCATTCCGGGAACTACATCTCACTCATTCCAAAACAGTAATGATTTATGCAGCACTCAGTCCATTCCGGTCATTGGAAGGAACAGAAAGTACTTTGGGTAACAAAAAGTCCCCAAGTCTAAATGCGTGGCCATGGTAACCGTTACGCGCGTTCAAACTTCTCCAGAATCAATCCAACATGTGAAAAAGCATGTTTGAACAGCAGCAGTCCTACGACTACTTTTTTCGCAGTCTGTTACGCGTTGTAACTACCATTGTCTATGAAATAGGAGAGGTGAACTTCTGCACAAATATGCCGCGTTCCCGGACGACTGTTTATACACAAGAATGCTCGCTTGTCCTCTCTCTCTCACGCTTTCTCGTTTTCCTGCTCACTCGCTCCAATATATTTGCACATTTTCTTCGCTTTCACACACACACACACACACACACACACACACATTCTTCTCCACCTGACAGTTCCACTGTCCCCGTCTTATTCAGTTCCGATTTTCGCATTCGCGAATGCTTGTCTCTTCGGTGAAAAGCCACTCCCAGACTGCTGTGAAATGTTTTCAATGTGTAATTTAGTTTATAGTCGTCCAGATACGTCAGTAAATTTGAATATAACAGTAGAAGACAATTTTGTTACAAATTATTTAAAACAAATTGTTCAGAACATTTTATCCATTCAAGTAACTGTATTGTTTAACAGATCCTTTAATTGGAGAACATCTTTATAATGAGCAATACGTCTTGCCTTTGGCCTTGAGAATGGAGGACGAAAGAGAGAAGTTTGATCGATTCCTGCTTTCGACAATCGATCGGTCCTAAGCGAGGTGTTCGCGTGTTGTTGCCGCCGTTGCTGCTGTGTTGTTTTGTTTGACAAAGACGATACATCCACTATTCTCTTCAATCATTTATCTTTATTTTACCTCATACAGTCAACAAATATTTATACCATTAGGGATTTTGTGACATGAAAGCTATCTTTTGTGTGTGTGGGGTGTGTGTGATTCACTATTTCATCATCTCGTTCCGAATATCGAGACCAGTCTTGGCCTCAAAATGATCACTCATCCACCACGGGTGGTTTGGAATTTCCGGATATTCGGCTTCGATGTGGTTGCTAGTAAATTCGGGAGCTTAGTGGCCTAACAGGCTTAGAAGGTTCCGATTCCAAGTCAGACATAGGTACCATAGACAGTGTAACCATGGGGGTTAACGGAGACACGTCATCGCGGTTAGTTTCAGAAATCAAGAAGCGTCTGCTTTAACGGTTTACCGAGAATCGCAGTAGTTTTTGCTCAGTAAAGCAGATCACATCTCATTTAACATACTTCAATATTACGAGATTCTGTTTTCTACGATGAATGTATAAGAATTAAGGAAGCAGTAGGCTACTCACAGGCAAAAACAGTGAAAAACACACTCTATCATTGATTGTGATTTGAGAGATTCGAATGATCACCAGGAAGACTCAGTGTTTCGTCCACCAATGAAAAACTTCGAAATAATCCCAAAGCTGTTTCATCTCGGGTGGGAGTTAAAAGCTGGCTATATTTCAGGAACCCACGGGAATTCGGATTCGGCTACATGTAGCTGTATCAAAATGATCCAGTTTGTTTTTAATCTTCATTTGAACTCCATTCACATCCATTTTGATTATTTAGATTTATTTATTACGTATAGTGAGAGGAAAAATGATCAGTGAGGTAAATATTACCACTTTCCTGAAAAATGGTACAAATTCCGATGTTTATAGTGGTGGTGATCTTGATGATTACACTCGAGGTTCATAGAGAAGTCGGATAAAAAATTTTTAATTTACCATGGGATATTCTGCTCGCGACGTGACAGTCATATTCACAACTGGACTGGATGCAGTTCGTTCCAGTAAAGGATTGATGCCTCTGTATGCAGTTGTCGATCCGGGTGCAGAGTCCATCGCGGCGTTAATATCTGAACGATCAGCGCTGACAAATTCCGATCTGAAGGTCGAACATGATTTGATAAAAATGAAGGAATCAGTGAGATGAGCAGACATTCACGGAACTGTTTCAATGGTGCTAATTATGCTCTTCATTTTTCAAATATAACGCGATAAACCTTCTGAATCAAAAACCGGTCGAGAAGGGAAATTATCTGAAGTGATGGGAATAGAACAAAAAACTTGGGGAATAATGCAAAAGTGACTGTAACCTGGACTGTTCTTTACGTTGTCGTATCGAATTCAGTGATTGGGGTAAATCAGTTGATAGTGAGGAAGGACTGACTAGTCGATGAAATTTACGTCACTGAAACCACTATTTCACGTTTCTATTACTAACAAACCTGAACTATACGTACTGTATTATTACGAAGTATCACTTTGAAAATGTACAGATTTCGGAAACCAGAACAGAAATAAACTGCAGGAGGATCACCCGGAGCTCAACATGTCTACACAGAAACACACCGGTGCAATCAAATGTGTAGACATTTGTTCGGGTATAGTCGGTTCAACGATTGAAACAATCGCAATTTTTATTCGTTTGAAATTTCAAAAATCGAGAAAATTTGTTTTAGTCGCCTTTCGGTGTCTGAATCATTCTTTTAAGACAATACTAACACCTGTGTACTGGATCGGGAACTTCAGAGATTCTGAACACTGAAGATCTCTGGTTGGTTCTTTAAAAAAAGACAAGCTTGACAGACTTGGTTCCATAGATCAATACCCAGATGGATTCCCAAATAAATTCTGTTTTGTCTGAAGATTTGGGTGGGTTCAGAGGGATCATTGAAGGAAGTAAAACTAAGGAGTATATCAGACAGTAGTTACAGTGATCATTTGAGAACTCATAAATTTGTTCAATGTATTCCGGAACGTATTCCGCAAACGCTCTGTGCCATTCCAGAGGTTTGTTCAGCAAGAAAAACTCATCTGTGTTTTAGTCTGCTACCCATTACTTAGAACACAAAAAGGTTAAGTAAACGCTCCCCGTTAGGTCTAAACAGTCCCTGTTGGTTTTGAAACATTACTAACACCTAACGAAACCTCTTCACTTTGACATTCCTTTCAGTAAGATGCTTTCATATAAGCGCAAGGTTTTTCACAGTGCGTACATTCTGCTCTCATTAATACGATTTAAAAACAAACATTGGTCGATGTAATACAAATTGGTCATTATAGGCATCAAAAACTGAGAAACAGACTTGATATGGACCCATTCACACTACCATTATTAGTAGTGTGTGAACTACCCACAAAACGAGTATGATCTAATACACCAGCCAAAGCTTTAACACCAGCCAATGCTATCCGTAGACTGTTCTATTTGCATGCTCCTCATCAGTATTGATCAAAAACAGTTTACATCCACAAATGATGCGGAAATATTGCACAAATCGGGCACTTGTGAAACGAAATACAATAAATGGTGATTCACTTTTCAATGTACGAGCTTCAAAACAGGCTCCACTCTAACGATTCACAATGAACTAATCATTTCTACCTGATATTACTAAATGTGAAAGAGGTAGAATAACTCCTAGGGGTAGCACGTGTACTTTCCAGATGATATTAAAGCGATTAAGGTAACGAGGAATCTCGCTTTGTCCTCTATCTCCTCGGGTTAATGAAAAACGAAGCGATCAGACCTGAAGAAAGCTTGACTGCCTTTTTTCTCACTCAACAATTCGGTGATATCAGTTACATAGTAACATTGATCAATGTCCCAGTTGCCTTATCGCTACGGGTACGGGTATCTCACGTGAACCAAATATAGTCTAACTGGTCGTTTGTTCGTACTCCCATCGATTGGTGGTCGCGAAAACCAATAGATTGAAATCTGGCCGCATTGACGTGTCACGTGATCTCCTATTCACTGGCACATCTGCCCGTTAAACGGCATGCAGCCTATATTACGCTTTTGACTGTAGTTTGTGGTACGGTGGGGGGGGGAGAGAGATAGAGATTATTTCGTTCAAGATGTGTTAGCACACGGGAATGGCAAGTAAATCTGAAAATCAGTCAGTTGAGAACGAATATGACGAATGTTAATGGGATCAGTTGTTCCAAACAGAGGCGCAAAATTAAATAGGGACCCTAAAGTTTGCAATTTCGAGATATCACAAGAACAGTAGTTTTTGGGGCGTATATCACCGAGAAGCGTGCAAACACGGGCATTCACCCAAACTGTTCTCGCGGGTATCAATGTGAGTTTATTCTCATCTTATTTTCTCATGTCTTTGCTNTCAGATACCGACCAACCACACTTCAAATTCGTTTTGAATCTCAGTCAATAGGAGCTAGACGCCGATGCTGTCTACGTCAGAGGTTTTGTACTTATATGCTAATTGGAAGGTACAAATGCACTTGGTTTTAAAATAAACAATGTCTGACGAAAGTCGTCCAATATTCGGACTGAAACAGTGAGTTAATTAGTTCATCAGCTCGTTTACACGTTCTTCATTAACACGCTCAATTTGTATTCAATCTAAAAAACAATTAGCACTTAGATAATCAGGTATACANAGATAATCAGGTATACATTTATAACCGGATTCAATTAGAAATCCATCGTTATGCATAAGATATACATCAGATTCATATTTTTACCAGAGTTGATTCCCTGGATTTGTTTTGGGTGCATAGAAGCAAATGCAATAACAGCATATGAAATTATCTACCACTTCGGGTCGCCTGGAAACGGACTGAGAAGAATGGCTATTTCACTGAGTAATTAATTATTTTTTATCTTAATGTGAACAAAGGATTCAAAAATATCGCCCAAATTGCAACACTCACCTCTCAAGTAATTTTTTCCGTAATTGTTGAACGACCTTATTCCGACCTTGTTCTTCTTCGGTCGGTTGACCGTTATTCACGGAATTCTGCGCAGCGGGTTCAAATTCATAGCTTATCTGTGGAGAGGGTTGACAGG